GGTATAGACACCCGCGTGGCTGACGGAGATGATAGAGCACCAGACGTGGCGCTCATTGATCTATAAGTTGGCCGAAGACTATCCCGACTGTCTTATGCTTACGTTCACCGTTAAGGTATGTGTGTTGGAGGGGAACTACACCTGTTTTAAGTAGTTTTTAATTGATTGGTTTGTGTGGCACCAGTAGCTCATATCGGACGCCGGCTTTCAGGGCGAGATCACCAGTATATCGACGGCGAGTCAACAGCTGGAAGTGTTCTCACGTATACTCAAGACATCGATCAATAACTTCTTGGAGAGGGGAGAGGAGACACTGGACACCAGTACCTCTGAATTCACGGTTAGTATTAGACAGTTGTGGCTGTTTTGAAGGGAAAGGTAGTTGTTTTTTGTGGGTTTTGTATTGATTTTTAGAGTTTTTGAATTGATTTTTAGAGTTAATAGCAATTTATGTGATATTTTTACAACTTTATGATTACTTTTGGCTTACATTATGGCTATTTTTAGTGGTTTTAGACATTTGTAGCTATTTTGAGAGGAACTGTACTTTTTGTTTGAATTTTATTTACCGTAAAATTAATTGATTGATAATTTTGTACTGTTTTTGGAGTTTATATTTGTATTTCTATTATTTTATATGAATTTATATGTAATTCCTAACAATTATTGTGATATTTATTATCATTTTATTTATTTTATTAAATTTATGCCTATTTTTTGTGATATTAATTGTGTTTTATTTTTGTATTTTATGGTTATCTCGTTTGTGGGCGCTGTTAGAAAATGGTATGCCATGGCGAGCACACGTTCCTCTACAGCCAGGCCATGATGAACGTGTTGGCCCAGGAGTCGAAGGGCGGCGCCGGCATTAAACGCCTGTCCCAAGAGATCTCGAATTTCGCACAAAAACTGTAAATGAATTCATTTTTTACAGAAAGTCTTTAATTTCTATTCAAGTGTTTGAAAACATTTTGCGATAGTTTTCTGTACATTATGTGAGAGTTGGGCTCATAGTTAGGGCACTACTTATGATTTAAACTCAGAATTAGTAGACTATTAGCTAATTATTTGTTAGCGATAATAGACTGTATACTAATAATTTGTTATAAATGGTGTAGTTTTTAAAAGCAATGCATTTTATTAATGGGTTCACATCTAGCGATCTTTTTGCATCCCTTTCCAAATTTTTTACAATGTATTCAAGTGTTTGAAACATTTTGTGGTAGTTTTATGTACACTATATGAGGGTTACGCTAACGGTTTGTACATTATTTGCTATTTAAACACAGATTTAGTACACTATAAGCCTATTACTGGTTAATGACAATAGACTGTTAACTAATGTTTTGGTTATAAATAATTTAGCGTAAAAAGTAGTGATTTATTAATTGGTTTGGTTTTAACTGATTATTTTTTGCCTCCCTGTCCACAGCGGACACGACGCCACGCCTATACTACTGGCCCTCAACGGCGCCTCCGCCCACCCCCGGGTCAGTCAGGCCCTGA